CAGTTTGATTCAATAAAAAAGGGATTGCATGGTCTCTGGGTTTAGAAAAATAAATCAAACGCAAAGCACGTTTTTGCAGAACAAGTATCTTATTGAGGTAAGTCTGTGGACAGTTGCCCCATGCACAGATACCATAATTTAAATAAGGAGAAATAAGTGCATGATATAAATTCAAAAGAAGACGCCGTGGAATGTAATGCCTCATTTTAGCAATTATTCCAACCGATCTACTAATTTTGTGACAGATAAAGTCAATATGACGCTTCCATGATAGTTCAGAATCAATCATTATACCCAAATATTTAACAAAGTCCTTCATCTCTAGAGTTACTCGAGTATTTAAAGTTGGATTAAAAATCTTAATTTGAGGAATGAAAGGTATTCTTTTTTGGCGCGGACGAAAAATGACATAATAAGACTTTTTGACGTTGAGCGTTAGTTTGTTAGCATTAAGCCATTCACTTACTTTCTCAAGTTCATTATTGACAGTTAGTTCAAGAGTACGTAAGTTGTCATTTACATAAGTTAGACTTGTATCATCTGCGAATAGATAAAAAGTAAATTCCTTGGAAGATTTATGGATGTCATTAATATATAACAAAAATAACAAGGGTCCAAGTAGAGAACCTTGAGGCACTCCACATACGATCGTTTCAGTTTCAGATATGCATTTGTCTATTTCAATCGACTGTCGGCGATCTGAAAGATATGATCTAAACCAAGAATTTATAACTCCTCTTATTTCATAGTGTTCAAGTTTTGTCAAAAGAATCTCATGATTAACAGTATCAAATGCTTTCTTAAGATCTATAAAAATCCCACATGAGTACTTTCTATTGTCCATATTAGAATGTATGGTGTTCACAATATCAAGAATCGCGTGCTGGGTACTATGTTTATTGCGAAAGCCATATTGTAAATTATAAAGAATATCATTCTTGTCTATAAACTTCATCAGTCTACGATATAAAATTTTCTCAAATAAACGATTATAAATTGATAACAAAGAAATTGGCCGATAGTTTTCAGGTAACGTCTCGTCTTCACCCTTATACACTGGAATTACTTTTGCATATATAAGTTTTGCAGGGTAAACCCCAGATAGTACAGACTGGTTAAAAGTTTTGGTTAATGGTATGGATATGACTGATTTGGCAAGTTTTAACAGTTTAACAAGGGGTAGAATAAAGCCCCAGGGCTTTATTGTATGGCAACAAGCTAATTTCTGTTTCAATGTCTTGCGGTATAATTGGATCAAAATAAAAACTGTTCTGCAAAGGTGGATCAAGATAATCAGAAAAAGTAGTGTTAACTTCAGGAATATCGGTTGCAAGTTGATGCTCTATTGACGAGAAGTATTTGTTGAGTGTGTTACCAATCGTTTTAGGATCATCTGATAAAACGCTATGCTCGTTAGAACGAATGAAGTGAATTCTTTTTGATTTTTTCCTTTTCTTCGCATCTCCTAATATTTCGTTAATACCTTTCCATGTCGATCGTGTATTTTTTATGTTAGAGTCGAAAAACCTTTGATAGTGACGTTGTTTACTCAATCGAATAAGGGTTGTTAACTTATTTCTATATATTTTATATTTCGGCCTGTTTGATTCAAAGAACAATTTATTCTTCACCTTCATAGATTTCCTTAGTCCAGCAGTTAGCCAAGGTTTAGTTAGCATTTTTAGTTTTCTCACTGAAGCATCTCTGAGCGGTGCATGTTTATTAACTACATGATTTATGGTTTTATAAAGGTGAGAGAACGACTTGTTTACGTCGCAATTATCAGAAACCTCTTCCCAATTAATTGCACTTAGGTCATTCATGAATTCATTAGCATTAAAGCTGGAATAATCCCTAAATTAGTCTTTTTTGTATGTGGTAATTTTTGCTTGTTTGCGTTGACAATACAGACTTGCGAAAAATGATCGGTTGTGTCGGTGACGATATTGCCACTAGAATTGTCACTGTGACACTCTACTATTTTTTCAGACTGTTCCACCACACTTTACTATCACTGTGACACTTTACTATCGTTCCACTGTTCCACCACCCTTTACTATCACTGTGACACTTTACTATCGTTCCACTGTTCCACCACCCTTTACTATCACTGTGACACTTTACTATCGTTCCACTGTTCCACCACACTTTAGTATCACTGTGTTCACTGTCACACTACATTACTATTCCTTTGATACTACTACTCTAGCGTCAATACACTCCGTTTGTTTCATGTTATGAAAAATTGGCGAATTAGTGCTGTATTCATGGTGTGTGAACGTTACTAAATTGTTGATTGTGGTACACCAAGCGCAAGCCGTAACCGTGGAATGGTGTGTGTGTGCAATAGTCCTAAACACGATTGTCTCAAGTCATGATTTAAGAATTAACGCCGTTGAGAGTAAAATGGCATCTTTATAAACTGCGTCGATGTATGTAACAATTTATTGGCTTTGGAACTGGTGCACTTAAGGTGACTGTCATTATACAGCATTCTTGTTCAGCATGCGTGCAATGACCACGCTTGGCTGACTTCCGAATGCTGACCGAGATATTCCCGTCACGAGTTGGTTTAATTATTGGCTTGCATTAAACCTATGAAAAAATGATATTTTTTTAATAGTAAGTAGATTTAGTGTGTAGCACTTCTTGATTTTTTTGCAAAGGCACAAGAAGCACGAGAATTGATTAAAAATTGTGAGTTAAACCTCTATGTAACACGCGATGGCCTGTCTCACTGTACCAAAAAAAACATATCTCGGTGAGCTTTCGGAAGTCAGCCAAGCGCGGTCATTGCGCGCGTGCTGAACAAGAATGCTGTATCATGACAGACTAAAAACAATAGACAACTCCCAAAGCACAAACTCAGCCAAAACGCTAAAAATCTTCAATGTTTACTCAAGTTTGGGTTTATAAAAGATAATGTCACAGTTTTTCAATGACCATGAAATTCAGAGTCCGGGTAGTTAGTTAATCAATTGTGGTCCTGAAAAAATTTGAAGGAAAAAAAACTACGAATTTTTAAGGAAATGCTTTTTTCGTGAGAAGGACTCTTAAACTCTGACAAAGGTCAACAAATAGCGAAAACTATAATTTCTATATGTTTGCTTTGCTCGAAATCGTGCGCATTTACAAGGCCCTAAAGCGTTTTGCTGACTTGCAAGGACCCATCTGTTATAACGATGCCCAAAATGAAGAGATGAATCTCATAGTTTATTAGATATAATCCGTGTAAAGTTTGCTTATCATTTTCGCATAAGTTATGACCTAAATTTGGAAACCGCTGAATTTCTCGAATTGGGTCTTTGCGATTTTGGTGAAACTCTGTTCAGCGCAAGGCACTAATGCGCACTATGTGTAGCCGAGAGATTTTCACGAAAAAATGCCGGCAACAGCAGATTTTCGACTCAGACCTCAAAGGGGCGTGGCATTATAACCACGTGACATTTACTCCGATCACCAAAAATTTGATGTTATATTGTAGATTGATCTATATGTTATCCATTCTATGTGTTAGACTTACGATAAAAGTAAAGGTGGGGATACCAGAGAGCTTCAAAGTAGGATGGTATCCCCCCAAAAAAACTGGGTCGAGTCACCTTAAAATATAGTGCACAAGGTTTTAAAATAAAATGAAAAATAATCCTGATACATGAACCCTATGTATGAGTTATTACAATTGAAATCAAAATAATATGACTCGGGATTTTAGTCGCAGTAATCTGAGTTTGTAAAGTTGACGACTCATGTGACCAGACACTCGATAGTTTCAGTAAATTTTATTTATTCAATGCTTGGTTAAACGAGTCATCTATTATGATTACGCCTACAAATCACCATTCTAGCAAACAAAAATCTCCTTTCCAGGGTATCTATTTTCCTTCATACACGTCAGAAAAGGCTGTTAAGAGCAGCGCTAGTGAGAGTGCAAGACTATCCAAAATTGCTAAGGGGATCACAATGAATTTCCTTTCTGATTGCATTTGGTCAATTATGGTGTATTTCCATTATAGAATTATTACGTGCATACGCACGTAAATTTCTATTCAGTTGACTATTCTGGGTTGCATTTTAGGACACAAAGTGAGGGAGAAAAAATTTTTAGCAAAGATTAAAAATATCCATCGGAGCCATTGTCACTCAAGGTCTGGTCGTTCATTGCTTTCCCAGTAATCATGATAGCAACACTATGCCGTATTTACTCGAAAGAGCACTGCACTCAAATAGGTTCCTTGGACCCGTGGCTCAAAAGTCTTGTTAATTACTGGGCAAGAATAGATGTTTCATTTAAACGTCAAGATCGAGGTTTCAACAGTCTCGCAGATAACTATCACTTCATAAGACAAAATGGACTGTGTTTTACTTGTGTACTAGGACTTGCGCTTTTATTGTTTATGTTAATTTCAATACTTGGCTTACGGAGCATGCAAAGTTTCCGAGACTTAAGAGAAATGGGCCCCTTTTCTGTCGCTATCGTAATTACTTGAATGCAAAAATGACCATTTTTCAATCTTTAGAAAAAATATTTTTTCTTTTGTATCCTAAATGTAACCCGACATGTCAACTGAGGACGTTTTTAATGGTCCAGTTCAAAAATATTTTAATAGCAAAGTGAAAAATGAAGATTATGAATGGATAACTTTTGTTTAAACTTCTCTCATCAGGATTCATCCCAGACGATGTCGGGTGCTTTTATAAAAGTTATTTCTAAATCACCAAAATGTATCGTTTAACTACATGTATGAACTGTTTCACTTATTCTAAAGAGAATTCAAAAAGTGGTAATTTGAGCGATTTAAAACGCGAAGGACTATTATCTAGCGAAAGGCTTGTAATTAGAGGGAATCAAAACAAACAGAAACACGCACTTTGCAAAGCATCCTGCGACTTTTAATGTTATCGTTCCATTACCATTACATTAATCGACCTCCTAGTATTCTGTAGAACTGGCTGGAAGCGATAGTGTTTATCTTAGCGAAATGGATGTTTTGTCTCTGCATTTAGGCCTGAGCCTTAGGGACTTCTTCAATGAAGATCCGGGACACAGACACGTAGCCAGTGTAGGCGTTGCCGGGTGATCCCGCTCGACAATTACCAACCCAGAATCCAACGCGCACCTTTCCTTTGTGGATGTTGTTGCAGTGCCCCTCAATATGGCGAACACGGTGAAGATCTTGAGTGTTGCCTTGCCACATGTACACAATACCGTCAATAGGTAAGGGAGCTGAACATTCTGCGCCGTTGAAAGTGAAGTACCAGCGTTTGCAACAGGTTGTACACCTGTAGTTTCTAAGGGCACCGGTCCAGGCCACATGAAGAGCTGTGTCAGAAAAGTTCTTAGTGAAGACACAGTCCTAAAAATGACGGAAATAAACATAGAATGGTTAAATCGCTTAGGTATCATAAGATAAAGGTAGAAAAGATAAATGGGGACCAAGCGATTTAGGAGAAAATAAGAGTTCTTGTAACCTTACCTTTATTAAACCCCTGTCTTTGTCATCGTTTAAATCTTTCCATGCGCACTCTTTCCAGTTTTTAAAAGGCATCAGGCCTGGAGTCCCAGGATGTCCACTTTGTCCACGCTCTCCTTTTGGACCTGGTGGGCCCCGTACACCAGGCTCTCCTTTAGCACCATCTTTTCCTTTCACACCAACAAAACCCGTTACTCCAGGAGGTCCCTGGGGCCCAATCTTTCCCGGGCTTCCTTTGTCACCTTTAGCTCCTTCTCGGCCATCACGTCCGTCACGGCCTGGTAACCCTGGAGAACCGGGCTTGCCATGCATGCCGGGAACCCCACAATACCAGAATGGAGGTGATTGCTTTATTAAGGAACAAGAAGAGACGAAAAATATTAATTTATGTTTGTGCAAAGAAACATTTAGTCATTTATGTACCAATTTTTCTTTATTGCTTGCTGTATATATTTCCTTTTTTTTGTTTTTATTTTTATTTTTATAATTTTCCTCCCCTTTTTTCTTTTTCAAACTCTAGCCGAAGCTGCAATCTCATAATGATTTTCACTTACAAGTGAAGGAGATGTGGTATTTTCTTTCACGCAGAGACTAGATAAAGATTTTCTGAAAAACATTACTTTCTGGGTTGTGCAAAGTGCAAGGTCCTCAGTGGTAATGAATTTGGTCGTTATCCTTTATTTCAGTTTATAACAGTTGTTGTCCTACACAGAAAGCTACTTATTAGTGGCTCACCACATTATTCGAGGGTTGTTTGGTTTTGTTGTCAGCCAAAGCTGTAAAGGCTAGGAATGACGCTGCAGCAAAAAAAGACAGGAACGGAAGAGCAACTTTACACGTTAAACTCATCGCGTCCTCTTTTGACGGATTTTCTGAAGACAAAATTAAAAGTTTAAGATTAGAGTGTTAGAAAAATCAAGAAATTGCTACCAATCTTTCGAACGTCTCGTTTTTGAAGTTCTATATCTCCCAAAGAATAAGCCTTGACAATTTAATCGTTTCGTTAATTGTGCCAAGCATTTTATGGCTATTTTATCGGTACGTAGTTAGTGCTAAATATTTTACGGTTCCATTCGGAAGTATTCCGTTCTTATCCATTTTTTTCCGAGTTGAGTAGTTGATGTGTCACTAGTTGGACACTCACAGGAATACTTCTTCTTTTCAAACCACCCTCTACTTGGAACGAATTTTAAAACGAGTGATTTCTATCAACAACTTTCAAGATTGCATGTTCCTCTCAAATTTCGAACCGGAAACTGCACCTTCAACTGTGGCGAGGCTTGGAATACTTGCCCAGCTTTAAAACTATTTTCTATCTTAGGTATCCTCAGTTCGAATTTCTGTTGGAAAGAAGCAAAAGGAAGGCGACCTACCGAAGCAGAGAAAACGACGTTACCTGTAGACTCTTTTCCTCTTGTCGTGAGTCAGTAACATAGGCCACGTTGGTTTAAGCAGGGCCTTTTATTCCTTTCTGTTGATTCTTTGTTCTTGTTTTGGCAAGTTCTTGTTTACCGTGAATTGAACTGTTAATGAACATTAAATATTTATAAGATTTCTTTCTCCAATAGTTTTAAGTTCCTGTTTGTTGTACCAAGTTTAGCATGAAGTTTATTTTAGGATAGATATCAGGGGCGTAGCACGTTGAAGGTGTACGCACGAGGGGAACAAAACTTGTAGCGGGTCTCGGGGTATGCTTCTCGAGAAAATTCTTAAATTTAGGGTCTCGAAAATGCTACTTCCAGCGTTTTCCGCAGGAAATTTTCAGCAAATTAATACGCGGGAAAACGCAGGAGTGACAATGTAGCTGTTTATTTTATTCATCTCAGGTGTTGTCGGTAAGGTACAGTTTTCACGGGAAAAAGATAAAGGAAATACTAACACAAAGACTCCAATAAAGTGCGAAAAATGTATCAGTCATCCCTATTCAATGCCGGGTACAAAAATGCTTTTTCAGAAAATAAAAAAATATATTTTTTCCATATTTCAACTGGTACATGTACGCACAAGCTCATGTGCGTATTTGGACGCTACGTTCCTGATATGTGTTGACCACATGCAACGGATTCAAAGATGAAAACCTTTACACAAACATTTGAACATTTTTGATTGTTAAGTTAGAAATAATTGTTTTCTCACTTTAGTTTTCTTTTACAGGAAGAGGGTTTTTGAACTTAATGCAAGCTTGTAGAAGCCATGTAAATCAGTTATTAGTTTACCCTATCCATGTTCTATTGAGTGTAATATAAAAATGAATCCGACTTGATCGTATAGAGCAATGGGTCTTTAATCGTATATCTGTTTTCAGCATCCTACATCGTAAAATTGAGGATGTATCCGTTTTCATTAGAAAACTCTTTGGATTGAAGAATTTCTAAAAACTATTGAGGGAATTGGGTTTTTTTTCCAGCCACCTGTGTCGCTGACTAAATAAAATCTCTCCTCTCACCTAAAGTCTGGTATCTTAAAGCACATTATAAAAATTGTTTAAGTAAAAGGTTGTATGACCAACAACCCAAACTGGCGTTCTCGATTATATTGATTACAGCTCTGTTGTTTGCTCGACATACATTGTATTCTGGCACACGCGTCATTTTTTCCATAATTAGTATTCAGCCATTGAATTAACACGAAGGCTCTCTTAAGTTCAATAAACTCGTGAGACTGAAAATTTAGAAAACGGGACAGCTTTACAGCACTACAAATATCTTTTTTCTTTCGCATGAAGTTTTGCTTTGATCTTCGATTTTCAGCTTCTTTCCTTTTCCTGAAAGGTCGCACCATTCACTGAACTGTTGCAACAGTTGGTTTATTTTAGTAAGAATTACCATTTGGAATATTCTTATAAACATATCTTTGGGGCGCAAATTTGCCATGGGGAGACTTGCTAAGAGCGCCCTACTCTTCCTCTACAATATGTTTTACGCCTTTTTGAACTCTTATAACGGACTGTTTTAAAAAATGCTGTAAAATCTTGGTTTCTCGAACCTCTAGATTATTTGAATTCTGACCTCCCTTAAGCAGACAAACTCTGTTATTCTGCAGTCTGTCGAACAACCCGATAATTAAAACGAATTTCTTTACTATTCGCCCGGAGGTTGGAAAAATCGGGGTCTTTGACCGGATCGTCGCCATTTAGGTAAAATGAAATCATTACCACTTATACTCTTAGATACTGACTTCCGCCATATAATGTTAAAAGAAGGTAACTGACCCGAGTGCGCGTTCTAGAAGATTTTAAAGCAGGAATTCTTATCTGTGTAGAATAATTAGCGTTCCTCTCACCGAACTGTTTTAGTTAATCTTTGCGGTTGATGGTTGAATTTGACTTATGTTGACGCTTTGTTCTTAACCATTGAAATTGTTCGCCAACAAATAGACGGAAGTGTAATAAATTCATTTTATGGTGGATTATTTTATCTATCAAGTATCCGCATTATATATGCCAACTGGCCGTCAAGATAAAACCTAAGGAAATTCCGAGAGAGGCTGTCATTAATACATTGTTCCGATTCCCTTGTGGGTGGATTAAGAAACTGTAAACACCTATGGTAGGTTTAGTCCGGCAGCCGATTTAAAACCACAATTGCGACTTGAGGAAATTATAAATTATACACTGACCTTGCATGCAGCACAGTTCTTCACTCTCCATTATACGGTTTTAGTGGATCCTAATAGACTTCACTGATTTAATTCCGAAGAGCCGTAGATTTTTTCCAGGCTCCATTTTATCACCTTATTTGATTTATTCTTCACGCTTTAATGCGACTAAATGAGTGTTACTCAACGTCCGAGCGTCACACTCCCATCTTATAATAATTGATCACCGTAAAAGCCTAGTTGTCGCTTTTGTTCTCAGTGGCAATAAAAAGACGCTGAGCTTCACTGTTAAAATGGAACGGAGACCTTTACAGTGCAATGAAATCTTGAGGTATTGTTTTTACATTTTTCAACCGCTATAGTCAAAGCGCCGTTCGTTACAAACAGGAGAAATATGGTGATAAATAATTCATTTTAATGCGAGTTAAATTCTTGTAGTGTTTATGGTCAATTGTTCGCCTTTCAAAGACTGTAGTTTTGTATGATTGTAATTATGATAAATTCACGATGCCCAAATATTAGCCAGTGATGGCCTGATGATGTTGCGTGACTTTTCATGGAGTGCAGCATTGTATTAGTGAACGTTTTTAAACCTTTAGTAATTTATGATATTAAAATATCATATTAAATCGCTGTGTAAGCCTGCGAGCAAGCACTTCCTTTTGAGGGATATCGTAAATAGTATGCGCGAGCGGCAGTGCGTGTTCTTTCGCGTTTCGTTTCGTTTGTCATTCGAAATGGAGGGCTTTTTCGCGGGCAAATCTTTGCATCTAGCGGAAACGATTATAATAAAATAACTGTTTTACAACTTCCACATCAAGCGTTTGAACTTTAATTCTTAAATTTATTTTTGCATTGATTAGGTAAAAAAAATTGTCGAGTAGTAGACGGAAAAACACTAAAACAATAGGATTTTGTATTACATTGAGGAGGCACGCTGTTTTCCAAAGACTGAACTGCTGTTGCATTCTGCGGAAAACGAAGCAAACTCAGGCACTGAAAAAAAATTCAGTCTTACGAATTTTCTTTGGCAAATGATTTGCTTGATTCTGTGTTCAGATATTTGGTCTATATAATAAACTCACTTTTTCCTAGCTGTTTCTATTAAAAGACCAGCCCAAGTTTCATAGAAAAACGGTTTTAAATCAAAGCCTTACTTATGAATGAAGCCGCCACAACGATTCCACCTGGGTTAGTAGGTAAGATCGTAAAAAACCGCCCGCTTCCGGAACCAATCTTGATTTTAGAATTTGGAAAATACCGCCCCCTTGCAAACTGAGAAAAAAGTACAAGTATATATCTGGCCGACTTTTCTTTTTTTTACGTCTGGTGAAATACGCAGAAAGTCAGGTCCACCGATGTAAGCAAGAAAACATTTATTTTAAAGCATCCCTCTTTTTCAGTTTGATATCATCAGTTTTGAAGCTAACAGCTAGTAAAAAGTATCATTTTCCTCAGCATACACGGGCAAACTATTACTGTGAAAAAGGATCTAAAATGTTTGAAGGCAATAGCGCACAGATGTGGATGTACCATCTTTTAAGGCAAACTCTGAGCTTTAGGAACTTCTTCAATGAAGATCCGGGACACACACTGCCAGCCCGTGAAGGTATAGCCTGTTCCACGCTCTCAGATAATGGGGGAAAACGCAAAAGTAAAAGGTACGCGAAAAGTTAGCGCGGCGGGAAAAAGGAAAAATGAAGGAGGCTCCGCCGCCTCTGCTCTCCCCAGTTTCCTCCCGTTATATTTTCGTGTTCGCACTTTCTCAATTCAGCGGACCGCCCGGCTATCTTGGAGCCTGGAAAAGGCTAGTGAAAGCATCACCAGCGACTCCATGTTGACAGTTGTCAACCCAGAATCCGATGCGCACCCTTCCTTTTTTGAATGTTGTTACAATGCCCCTCAATATGGCGAACGCGGGGAATGATCTTGAGTGTTGCCCTGCCACATGTACACAATACCGTGAATGGCCGTTGAAAGTGAAATACCGTCTTTTGCAACAGGATGTGTACTTATAGACTCTAAAGGCAACGGTCCAGGAAAAACGAAGAGCAGTGTTAGAAACGTTTTTATAAAAGACGCAGTCTTACATCCACAATGAAAGTCAAGAAAACAACAAATAAGGAAATGAGGTAACGACAGCGATAGGAATAGTGTGATTCTAGTGATTCTCTTATTGTTATCTTATTACAAATTACTGATAAAATGAGTTATAAATACCTCTTATTAGCCGAGTTTTTGGCCCGTACTGT